AGCTATGACCTATCAGTTGGGAGGGACCTTTGCCCACCTTCACACTACGTTAGTGGTAAAGAAAAGACCACTGTGCCAAACCCTGTCGGGTAGAGTCAAGGGCATACATGATGTAGTCGTCAGACAACATATCAGTATGTATAGGTCAGGGTTTGTTGTAGAAGGTTGCACTAATTTTTGAAAACAAAGTCGAAACATGTACGGGTAACAGTGATCAAATATCCATGACATTTCCAATTTCCCAATACTTATATCTTTAATATTTAAACATACGTAGTGTTTCGATACTTTAAGGCTATTGGAAAGTACACTTTTACGAAGGGGAATAACAAACGAAGGCTATGAACCGTGAAAGAATTGCATATTGTAAACAGGAGGATGGCTGTCTTACATACACTTGCAATAGTCAGGACAGGTTTTCTGCACCTAGTTTAATGATGACATCTAGCGATTTAAGTTAGCAATGCATAAGTCGGCCGAATAAGTCGGCCGTAAAGCCAGACATGACTTCATAGTTCACAAAGCTACGACAGACTGACACACATTTAGAGATGTCTATATTCTTCTGTACTGAACAATAGCCACTGACAGTAAGAAGACAGGCATCTGTGTACTGTATGCCCATGCACATTAATTGTTATTTTATATTGTTATGAGTGCAATGCATGTCTATTGTTCAGCCAGTACTGTGCGTCACATAGATACCTATCTTCTGTTCTGTGCGTCTATCGTTCAGCTAGTTTAACCGCCCTACGGCGTAACACGTCTGTTTGACGCCAGTCTGTCTCAGAACCTGTACGTGTGGTCCGGAATAAATAAGGCAGAGACATCGGTCCAAGTTTGTACAAAAGTCACAAGCCGTGAACTTGGTGCAACACGCGAGAAGCCTGAATCCCTCCATCAGCTGAGTCAGCGATTTTTCTACCTCTAGGGCTACACCAAGTAATTTTAGGGATGACGTTCGCGCGCGCAATGACTTTGCTTGGTTCGTTGGTTGGTTGTTGGTTGGCTGGCTGGCTAGCTGGCTTGCTTGCTTGCTTGCTCGCTCGTTTGCTTGCTTGCTTGCTTGCTCGCTCGTTTGCTTGCTGTAATTCCAAATCCATTTTGTTTCGTAGCCCCCTGAGACTTTAATAGTTGACCCGAAATTGAACCATTCGTGTTCAGGCACGGTTTTTGAACGGTGACTGCTCAGCGGTGACATGTGAGGGCTGTGTGTTATATTATCTACTTCCTCCACTCCTCCACTGTCCACAATCAGAAACAAGATAAGCTTTAAAGCTGACAATGTTTAATACACGGGTACATCGTTTCCCTAAATCACCAACAGTAATGAGGTTAGCCAAAGTTCATGCCCGCTGTTTGGCCTACATCTGCCCTTCCCCATAAAGACACGTCCTGACCCATATATCCAAGGCCACAGCAAGTAAATTTTATGGATGACATCCTCCACAGACTCGAAATCTAATGCGATAGGGCGAAAACAAAACAAAGGCGGGTAAAAAAAACAAGATCCCTACATTTTTTACATAATCGGACATCATAACCCTTGTTTAACAAGAAATGATACCTATATTGTGCTAAGTTTACGGCCAACTATTATAACATCCATTGTCATTGAAAAATTATAGTTTTCAATCAATAAATCAGAGCTTGTCTCCTTCTTCATCCTTCATCTATCTGCCATCCACGTTCCGGCATGGAAACAGACATCTTTTCCCATTTTTGGCATGTTGGCCACTGTCCGGGGGCAAGGAAATTTTTCTTCCAAAATCAGGCGAAACTCAATCCGCGCATCAATGTCATCCATAAGAATTACTTGCTGTGGCCTAAAACACAGAACAGACACGCCCTGTGGATGTGAACACGAGAGGACTGTTTTTATACCCACCGCTCCTACACAGGGTCACGATCTCCGCTACAGCAATATTTTTGGAAGACTAAAGACTTCAACAAACTTCACTTCCTTGTAACTGAAATGATCCGTACGGTGGCTACTATGTATATATAATAGATCTTAGATCTTAGGTGTAACAGTTATATAAAACACATGTGTATGAGAATGATTGAGTGTGTGTGTGTGTGTGTGTGTGTGTGTGTGTGTGTGTGTGTGTGTGTGTGTGTGTGTGTGTGTATTTGTGTGTGCGCACGCTCATGTGCGTGCCTCTGTGTGTGTTTCCATTTGTGTGTGCGTGCGCGCATATGGGTGCCTCTGTGTGTGCATGAGTGTGCGTGCGTGTGTGTCTGTGTGTGTATGTGTATGTCTATCTCTCTCTCTCTTTCTCTGTGTGTGTGTGTGTGTGTGTGTGTGTGTGTGTGTGCGTGCGTGCGTGCGTGCGTGTGTGCGTGCGTGTGTGTTTGTGCATCAAGATTTGACCATGGAGCCAATGCTTGCTCCCGGAGGCTACCATAAACCGTGCCGCTTTTGGTGTTTTACTTTTTTTCGCGGTGAACTCTATAAATACCACGAAATTATAACAACGTAAGAACTACTACGTGTTGTATAGTTCTTCTGTTCGACAATTTTTTTTCGGCTGCAAACTTCAAACACCGAAAACTTCAACCTCACAAAAAACTCATTCCCCCTCCCACCGCGAAATAAAACCACCGAAGGTTTTGACAAAGTATCCGGGACGCAGGAAAAGGCTAAGATCTAGTTCAGCGGTTAGGTAAACTAGACTTTGCGTGACTAACACATGACCCTTCTCGCCCCTTCACTCAGGAGTTGACAGAACCCACCAGACAGGAATCCACCGTGCAGGGAGTTCGCTGAACCCGGGGTCACAGAGGGCACAACAGGCACTCAGTAAAGCAAGCAGGACGACTGGTTAATCATGAGGATTATCCCATTGGAAACGTTTACAGGGGTCCGAGCTGCATATTAGTCTGTACTTTGTTGTTACCTTCGCCAAGAGGGTTCTGTTTTCGTGGCTGTTCACATTTGTGTGTGTGTGTGTGTGTGTGTGTGTGTGTGTGTGTCGCGTGTGCGTGTGTGTGTGTGTGTGTGTGTGTGTGTGTGTGTGTGTCGTGTGTGTGTGTGTGTGCGTGTGTGTGTGTGTGTGTGTGTGTGTGTGCGTGCGCGTGCGTGCGTGCGTGCGTGTGTGTGTGTGTGAACATAACTTGAGAATTAAGGATTAGATGGATTTATTTCTTTATTCAATTTATCTTGATATTTGGTAGGTCAGTAGGTCTTCGTGAGAGCTCGAAATAATTATATTTTGGTCCCCCTAGCGGCCTGATATGGTACTGCAGCGGAGCTTCCGGTTTTGATATCTCGTGATCTGGACATGCTAGGGTTTTCGGTTTACGTCTATTTGCTTATTTTATGAGGAAATGCAAGAATACCATTGGTTTAAAACAAGACTGACATTAGCTGGCGAATATGAACAACTGATTTAATTAATTTAAGCGCAAATGATGATCGAGACAATGAATCATCTATAATTCTTCAATCATAAAGGTTAACGTTATTTGACGAAGGCATGAAGTCGTGGAACTCGATCTAGTTGTTTTTATTTTGCCACATACTGTAGCAATAGAGCTGATATCAGCGTCCCCACTGACTGTAATTTTACAGATGGAGCTTTTCTAGCAACATCTTGAAAGGATCATTACGATAGCTTGTTCCTTGTGACATTTTTTTTCCATTAAAAAGTTCATGACATCGAGCTCTTGTGTGACAAATCCGGCTGTCAAAATGGTTTTCGTAGAATTTGGGAAATCTATTTTCTCACAGCTACGCACATTGGCACTTGTCACGGATATTTTGCTGACTACCTAAATGTGATAAGTCATGATAGTGTAATATTGCTGTAATAATTGATGTAATATTGATGCTCAAAATTTACTATGTTGATAAGATAAGTTGTCCTGTAGCACAATGTCAATGATAGCAGTTGAACGTAAATGTAAATAATAGTTGTATTTTATGTAAAGGACTCCAGGAAGAATAGTGCATATTATCACTAATGGGAGATTCCTAAATAAACAAACAAACAAACAAGCGACTTGGACATTACAATCGCAGGGCAGATCCTAGGGTTACAAAATACAAAATTGGCCAAGCAGTACTTAGTATCCATTCACCAGAGAGGTCTATACACCACCACCCATCGGTGGAAAATGGATACTGTCTGGCCAATTTGATACTGTGATTTGCCACCCTATAATCTGCTTGGAGATTACACATGTGCATACACCGTGCAACACGGTATTACACTCCGCACGAGTATTCGAGATTCAGAAAGCTCAGTCGTTCAAATGAAGTTCCCTCACATTGTCTTCGTTTGCTCAAACATGACCAACTTTAAAGACGCTGACTCGTGTATTATGAAAATCAACCATGCGTACATTTCCCCGTTGTAATTCAGAATATCCTTTCTAAAAACAACGTGTCAGCTTGGAGACTGGCATGCCGTTCACTGGCTGTTTCCTGGGCATTTCTTCACATCCGTTTTTCCACGAAAACAAGAAATCCAACACGGATGGGTGTTCCACCCATTTCCCTCTCTTGAGTGTACATTTCTCATTTCCTCGTTGTAATTCAGAATATCCTTTCTAAAAAGACAACTTGTCAGCTTTGAGACTGGCATACAGTTCTTACTGTTTCCTGGGCATTTCTTCTCATCCTTTTTTCCAGGAAAACAAAGAAATCCAACACGGAATGTGTGCACCAACTCACTCCGAATTGTGACCGAATTTCCGTTCAACCCCGTTCCCACCCTTGAGAAAAATCTGTAGACGTTTTTTTTATAAATTTGTCCCCATTTCAGGGGGCGTTTTATTTTCTTTAAACCAGCATCTCTACCAACAAGATGAACTGTAGCAGTATACTCCATGCCTGTGTGTTGTTCTCTGTTTAATTTAAAAGCGCTATCGTAAATATATCTTCAACGTCTGTTGGTAGAAGTATTAAATCTTCTCTGTCACTTTTACGGCCACCCCCGAACGCTACGTCCAAGTGGAACGGTCCACTTCGCCTTACGTCACCGTATACGGGCATATATATATATACCCGGGCGATGTGGACCGACCAGTCCTAGACGAGCCAACCGGACCTCGCTAGAACCAACCCGCCGAAACCACAGCCAGACTTCCCCTGAAGCCGCGTGCCGTCTGCTCTAAACAGTAAGTCCTACTGCCTCTATTTACATCCTAAAACTACAATCCCTCCGTATGTGTTAAACTGTATTCGTGCTGTTACGAAATGTGAACAGATATCCCAGAAAGCGAAGTATATGGCCGCAGCTGCTTATATCTTTAATAGGGGGCGTGTCCACGTCGCTATACTTCTAATCCGTGTGTGTCTTTTTGATTGGTTCTTTTTAATTCGATCTTAAAAGTTGCGATAGGTTTGTACAGGTATAACAATGGTTGATGTCGATGCGACACCCTTGCTGTGTGTAGAATATACCTTGCGTTTACGCTCAGATGCTAATGTCTGTTCCCTGTCATAAGTCTAGTCACGGAAAAAATCAGTCAGCTGTCAAGTGAAGCTAGCTCAAATTACTTTGATGTTGAACGTAAAACGACAAAAGTCAACAAACGTTCGGCCGTGGTGCAGTTTTTCCAGATGTTTTACTGTTTGTTTTTCTTTCTCTTTTCTTTTTGGTCTCGATTTGCAAACGTTAGTACCAACATGTGTGGAGTAAAATGTACACATCAGTCTTCTGTTTGGGGGCGTGGTTTGATTCATATTGTAGGAATGACAGATTAGCAGCAATTGTCAAAACAACGCGAACATACCTAGATGTAGAACTGGTGACAGACTGGGACATTTTTTGATAAGTGTTAATGGCGCAAAAACAACGCGACCGGGTCATCGTGTAATTAGCTATCCTTTTAATTAAAGATATACCGTGAGATAAGATCTAGAGTCCGTCATGGAACAGTGGCCACATTACTGATCATTATTCACTGACACTGTCCTCCTGACTGTAAGCCCCAGGCAAGTGGAGAGACCTATTAAACCCATCCAGTTCATCGTGGTTGGGACAGGCTGTCTTCGGGGCTCTAAGAGCTTTTCACCCGCCCGGCTCAACAGACCGCCCGGTGGGAGCATTACGCCTGTGATAGAATTTGCACGCCGGGATTTGATATACCCACGATCTTCCATCCTACCGGGGAACCTAGCTCAAGCGGGCGGAGAAGAGCTTCGAGTAGCCCCGAAGAAAACCCGCCCCAGCCGCGATAGACTGGATACCAGGTCAGGAGAGATGAGACTCTCCAAGCAGAGGTTTTACGGGGAAATTGTGGCCCATATGGCCCGTATTTTCCCCCAGCAACCTCTGCTTGGAGAGTAGGCTAGGGAGAGCTTTAAACAAACGGGACGTGTGATAGGAAAGACACAATTTTCACCCAACAACCTCTGCTTGGAGAGTATATGGTCTCGTCACCTGCGCTGCCTAGGGGCGGTTTAGCGCACCTGATCAAAGAGCAATGAATATGTCCAGTGTTCCGCGACAGACTCTAGATCTTATCTCACAAAAGGTAGAGAGTAGAGAGACCAGACTTCTTCTCGCCTGGGTGTCAGGCTGCCTCCAGGGCATATACAGAACAGTTCCTCGGCTCCAGGACCAACATGCTAGCCTGGGACCCAGACTGTTTCCAGTAATATCCAAGATACGGTTCAGCAGGTAGAGTATAGGACACATCGTCTCAATGACTTGATCGCATGAATAAGCTACCACACTAGCACTATAGTCTATCGACTTCTCGCTTCATACTAAAGAACCATACGCCCCGGGCGAACTGTCATTCACATGTGTGCTGCAGCGCACCTGTACAAAGAAACACATGGTCTTAGAAAACGGATTACAGGCGTAAAGTCCACTCTAGAACAACCCTAAAAGAGTACCAAGTCAAAAACTAAACGGCTGTATGAACGCATGTTTTTATTGGTGAGAATTTTCCCTTTAGCCATCCCAACTGATGTAAAACGTCAAAGCGGTGAAAGCTTGTTTGTAACTGATGAAATTAGGACGTAATTGTCGGCAGCCGCGCGCTAGGTCGGACGTGCACAGTCCATTGTTGTGAGTTGTGCGGTCGTAGGTTTGCAGCGCGGGAGGGCCTCTTGCGGACAGCTGCTAAGTGCAGTTTGTGATTCCCATAAAACAGGATTGTGTGTATAGAAGTCGTTGGCAATTTTTTTATGAGACGTAGAGTAAGTGTGCTCAACATAGCATGAAATATATCAATTGATTTAATGTAGGATCATAGGGAACACGGTCTCGTAAGTCACTCATTAATGCATGGTTTCTAATGTATGGAAAAAACTCATGAATGAGACCTTAGAGTTGGACAGCTCAAGAGCCAGCGACTTTCTCCGTCAACATCGGAATTTACACAAGTAATAGTGTCGCGTCAACATCGTCTAGCCTTTCCTAAATTGGCGAAACGAGAGACCAGTCAAGTACAAACGTTATCTCAACTTGACACTCTGGCAGAATCAAAACAAGTGAAAATGTGATTATGTTTGTCACGCAGGGTGACAACATAACGACGTCGTCTGTCTCCTCCTGCCGAGCTTTTTTGTCAAGCCCCTGTCGCACATAGCCAATGCCGAACTCCCCCCAACCATGGTTAGGAGGAAGGTTGGCTGGCTGTGGTCGGCTGGTGTTCGGCGAAATCGGCTACGTACTGTTCGGCTGTTCAGTTTCAAGTTTAAAACATTCGTGTGTGGTTCGACAACGGTTGGCTGGCGGTCTGGTTTGTGTTCGGGAGTAGGTCAGCAGTGTTAGGAGGTTAGATTTGACTCACATTTAACTCCAATTTGATTAGATTCGCATAGAAAGGTAGGTCTGGCCCAAATTTAGTCAGACTGCTTCAAAACTTCAGCGCAAGCCAACCTTGGTTGGTCGGAGGTCGGGGGAAGGTTCTGAATGTGTGTCAGGGTCTTTACCGGGTCCTCACTTTTTTAAAGACTTTCTATTGACATCCCAAGTCAGTCAACAGCGTGGTTCAGTCTCCACCAAACTAACAACGCGCAACACTGGCTCAAAAAACAATAACATTTGGCGAAACAGGGAGAACAAGAGTTCCACGATCTCATACCTTCGCCAAATGATGTTAACCCTTGCGGTTGAAGAATTATACAATTTTGATAATTGATTTTGCAAATAAGATCCTCATTTGCATGGGTTATATCAGTTGATCATATTCTCCACCCAATGACAGTCTTATCTTAACAAAAAGGCTATTATAGCACTTCCTCATAAATTATGCAAATGAGGTCATGATTTGAATAAATTATGTTTATTGCTGTTCGCCTTCACTTAACTTCCAAATGTGGCAAGTATGAAATTCCCAGCAGTTACAACTATGAACTTATAAAAATTTTCCATCAATTATGCAAATTAGGTCTTCATTTACATAATCTATATCCTAAGATGTTTTTTTTTATTCTCAATTACATGTCACAAGTGTTTCATAGTCCTATTATCGAACAAAGCAGATTTATAGAATTTCCTCATTAATTATTATTATTAGCTCCTGATTTGCATAATTGTCATTTGATTATGTCAAGCATCCCTTCAGGTACCTACATACCAAAAATCACAACAATCCGTCAACCGGTTCTTGAGTTATCATCCTTCGAAAATTTTTCAACAAGTGCTCCTGCAGTTCCAGAACAAGCCACTAGGGGGCCCAAACTCATGTCACTTCTTCCCTACCTCAAGAGCTATCTACCAACCAAAATTCATGACCCTAGCATGTCCAGATCGCGAGATATCAAAACCGGAAGTTCTGCTGCAGTACCAACAAAAGCCGCCAGGGGGCCCAAAATCTAATCATTTCTAGGTCTCATCAAGACCTACCTACCTACCAAGTTTCATGACAATGCATACTAAGCTTCTTGAGTTATGCTGTTCACAAACAGACAAACAAACAGACAAACGCTACTGAAAACATAACCTTCTTGGCGAAGGTAATAATTGGCCAGGCAGGGGAGTTAGGCCACACTAGTAGAGTTTGCCCGTGGGGGAAAATGGGGCACCCTCTGGCCAGACCTTATTTTTGCCGAATTCTACCATCCTTTTAAAGCCCTCCTTAGTACGACCTGGTAGAGGATTGTTAAAGTTAACTATCCTATACACACTTTATTTACCAGTGCATATCTGGCGTGTCGGTGGCGACGAAATGATCTAAAGAGATTTTTTCATTGACGTTTCGCATGGACGACTTTTTCCGTCCCTGAGAATGTGGCCCACTCACATGGTTAATTTCACAATGACAACAGGGACATCTGATTTGCCACATTAATCTCAATTGAAGATTTGTCACCTCACACAGCGGTAACCAGTGTAACTGGTGTAGCCACTACTAGTACCGGGCTTCAGAAGTGGCTAGAGAGAGTAGAAATTTGCCACATAGACAGATGATATGCCAGGGGAGTTAGTCAGCGCTGAGACAACATTTTGCGGCTCAAAGAAAAATTCTCTCTAAGGCCACACCAATTTAATTTCTTGGTTAACGGATTTTTCTAGAAAAATAATGGAGCGGGCGGGCGAAAAAACAGGCATAGGCATCCAAAATGGTACGATAGGAGCCATGAAGTCAACATACAAGGCTGGTTCGAAATTTGAACAATGAATTTTGAACTTTTAATGATACCATTGCACTGAAAGATGGAATAACTGTAACAACAAGGATGAAAAGGACTGTTTTTAACTGTTCAGGGCAAAATATGAGCATTTTGCAGTTGATTCTGAATTTTTATTTTTATTTGCAAATCAGAAAAAAATGAAGCGGGCGAACCCGTTAACCAAGAAATTAAATTGGTGTGGCCCAGTCTTAGCGCATATCATTAGTCTCTGGCATATCTTTAAAGCCACTTCTGAAGCCTGGTAGAGGCTACAACTGGTGACCCCGGGATTGTCGATATCACTACGTATCCAGTGTAGCCACTTCTTCTCCCACCTGTTATTTCTACGTTAAAGGGGCATTATGTTACATTTTACACCATCAAAATTGAAATATTTCAATCGAAAAAAAATCTTTATGTGATTGTCATTTACGTCCACTTTACGTCCACATATTTGTACTATTATTTCACATTCTGACATTTACGGTTGATAATAAAACAGCCCACACAAGGTCGTACACTCAGGGGTTTTTTTTGCACCACCACAAACTACCAAAATGTAGACAAACATGTTTTAGCGTCTCCGCTTCCTTAATGACTCTTATTTGTAGTTAGTGTAGGGTTGATCCAACTTACTTTGTAAAGATTGACTTTTTGTTACAAAATGCAACTTTAATACTGTATTAGTTAGATGGACATAGGGACCTTTGTCCCTTCCAAGCCGGTTTAAACGTTCATTACAAACTAATACCTTTGTTCAATAGATCCATAATGGCTAAATAATTCACTCGAAGCAGCTAATCGTGGCTTTTAGTACAAAAAAAGAAAATTTTCTTCATTCATTGATGTCAGTATCCCGACTTATGTCCTCTTTTAACCCATGGGAAGAACAGCTTTACCAGCAAACCGTGTTGTGCTTTATAAACAATACAGTCAGTGTACAAGAATTCCAATCTTTAAGCAGCACAGATTAAAGCATGCGTAAATGTTCACTGGGGTGAGAAAATTAACCTTAACGTATGTTTAAGGTGGGCTTGAGGATAGGGTTTTGTGTGGTGTCTATTAAAACAACATACGGCCACAGCAAGTAATTTTTATGGATGACATCGGCGCGCATCAATTTTCGTCTGATTTTGGAGAAAAAAAACAAGAAACGTCAACATGCCAAAAATAGGCAAAGATGTCTGTTGCCATGCCGGATGGTGGATGGCAGATAACTATGAAGGAAGGGGACAAGAAAAGGCTCTGATTTAATTATTTTTTTCTTACTTTGATGCAGTGACATGTGATGCTGGCTGTGTATATGTGATGTTCCCACTAAAACAAAACCATTTGTACCATGATTGAGTCAAAATTTTAAAATGTAGGAACATTGTTTTTTCGGCCCGTCTTGTTTTTTTTTCGCCCGCTCGCATTAGATTTGTCGTCTGCGGATGATGTCATCCATAAAATTTACGTGCTTTGGCCTAAATACTAAATTTGTTTAGTTTACAAAGTTTGTATGTCGGAGAGCCCGCCACCAGACTTGGCACTAACCAGACACGAGTAGACTTGACCGAGAGGGTGTAGAAATAAACCGTGGTAGCGTGCTGACGCCCCATTCTTTTTACATGTGACATTTTACCTAACATTTTACCTAATGGGTCATGTATCATCATGACCACAGTTTAATTGGTCACACAGCGCTATCACCACACGATATAGCAAATGACATGTTGTTAACAGCCAAATCAACCGATGTTTAGTCATTGTATTCTTTTAACACTGTAATATTTTAAGTTATCTGTGGATGTGAGTTGGGTGTTGTTGCTGTTTTTATAAGAGAAACTGTTGTTTATGTAAGTGAAACGTATTTCAGCCAGACAGCTGCAATGTTTTACATTCATTCAAATTCATTCAGCATCTACTTTAGAATTTCTAGCAGAGGTTTAGGCTTGGGCTTATTTTCACGTGTTTTAGGCGATTTTATCGCGCTTTCTATTTTGTACTGGATACGACAGCCAAACGGCTGGTGTATGGATACTGGATGGTCAATTCGATACTGTCTTGCCAGTTTGTATTGCAGGCATCAAAAGATATGCTTGGAGATGAAGCTAGCAGCGATATGCCATCGGCGTACATTTCCCTACATCTGGTTGTAAACCATTGAAGGACCCGACCCTCTCATCTTGTGCCCCCTGGTACGGATTTCTTTAGAGGGGTCAAAGACGCCATACTTGGCCGAGTTTCTCTCCCCGGTCCTGGCGGGGTGCCAGCCCCTCCCCACCGCGCCATCCGACATCTGTAGATTTATCGTTTCGCCACACCGTCCTTCTTTAGGCCACAGTAAGTCAATTTTATGGATGACATCCTCCGCAAGAGATACTATCTAATGCGTTTTAAGGCAGCAAAACTGGAAACATTCTGAACAAGACAAACTTTATGATATTGACACATACTGCTTCACATTAGCACATTTCAATCGGTATTTCATACTTTTGGGTATTTCTAACTGTAGAAAGAAGCCCCAAGATTAGTCCTTCATTTTATGGGTGGTACCCTAAAAATTAGACTAGGGCCTTTCCAGTAACCATTTTCCGTCAGAATTTTGGGTATTGTTTGCTCCCCTGTGGGTCAATATACATTGGGATATTGTGGTTTCAACCTAGTATGTACTAGATAAGTGACTAGAATATTGACTTGGAAAAATTGGGTATCCAAGCCCTAAAAACTGCAGTGGTTGCCTTTAAGCCCACCTTCAAAGAACTCACAAATGTTAGTTATTCACTTTATGTTCACGGTAGCAAAATTTCACGGTCTGAGAGAAATGGACATGTTCACGTAACTATATGTTCACGGTGGTGACAAGTGCAGGAAAAAGAAAGTTCAGGAATTATTTGTTAACTGTAATGATAAGTTCACTGTACACAAGAGACAGTGAAAACAGTGAACTTATCAGTACAGTGAACAAATCAGTAATTATATATTTCAGTCTACTGAACATTTACCCATGCTTTAAAATGTGCTTAAAATTTAGAGTTCTTGTTGTGTTTCTTCCCATTCGTTTTTCCCCAAATTCGCCCAAACGTTCCGGTTTATCTACAGCATAAATCATGTTTTCGGCGGCTTAACGTTCTCCGTTGTCCCTGTAAGGTTAAAGGTGAAGTATTTAACGTCCCACAACATTCCGTGCATCGCTCCAGGCGCTCCACTGGCCTATATCGTAATCCTCTGCTGTCAACAAGGATTATTAGCGCCACTTGGGTACCCTGGGTGCCAAACTGGTATCGGGCCGTTAGCCGTTTTCCTTCGGCAGCCAAGAGCCCTTCCCCCGCCTATCTAAGTTACCGCCTCGGAGGAGTTAAGCCCAGGAGAATTTTTCTGGCCCGAACTAGGGAAGGGCTCTTGGCTGCCGAAGGAAAACGGCTAACGGCCCGGTACTAGTTTGGCACCCAGGGTACCACTTGGGTAACATTTCACATCCCAAATACTGATAGACATTTTGACAAGCCAAAAATGTGCCAAGCAGGTGGTTTCTGTTATTCTGAATCTTTGTTTCTACTTTAATGAATTTACCTTAGTTTTTTTTTCCTCAGATAGGTTTTTAGCTGAGGTTTTTAGTGCCAGAGACCTGTGATGGCATGATACGATTCATGTGACAAATACAAGCTTATTCAGAGAGGTTAGATTGCCCCCCTCTCGCCTCGCCCCCCTCCCCCTCATTCCTACACCAGGGGCAGGGATTTTATCTTATTTTTATGGGCAATTGTGGTTAAGCCACCGAGGTACATATGTATGTAAACTGGTTTATTCATTATTTACACCACACATACTATTGCAGCCTTACATGGCTGAATTGGGGCATGATACACAATAAAATTTATCAAGAATGGTTCAGCAGCTCGACAATAAAAGGTAAAACAATATTGTTGAACCTAGACGTCCTGCAGCTAAACTGCGTGAAGTTGTCCTTTAATCTCAGTTCTCTGCCATGTAGGCTTCCACGTTTAGGAGGTAGCCAACTAGAGAAGTTGGTAGATTTAGCTATCGACATTGCAAAGTTCATACAGAGTTTATGGCGTCTCAAATACAAAGGTGTGAGTGATAGTAGCTCTATTGCTCTGTCATAGCTGACATAGTTTCTGCCTAGGATTATCCTGCACGCCCTCTTCTGTACCATATACATGTGTAGTATGGTAGTTTATATATCGCTACTTCATCGTGTACATGTACTGTACTTAGATAAACGTCCCTAAACGATAAACCATAGTAACGATAGACAACATTAGGGATAAGAGCCTGTACCAGGGAGATAGCTGTGGCCAAACATTTCCAGACGATCCTTCTGTGACAACAGGTTCTAATCAGCGCTATCTCCATCCACTGAACCACTCAATCACTCACTCAATCATTCTGTCAGTCACTTACTCATTCTATCACTCACTCACTCATGATATTACTCATTCTATCACTCACTCATTCATTCACTCATTCTATCACTCACTCAATCAACTGGCCTAGCAAAGGTAGTCAACGAGTATGGCACATGTACATGATTAACCAGTTTTAAGCATATTTTGAGAAAATATTGGTAAAGCTCTAACAGATATAACGCTCGCAAAGGGAGACACTGTATGGCCACTGTATCAACCTGCTCAGCATGTTGAAGGGAGACCTGAACCTGAAGCGCAGAGGGCTAGGCCCTCTCACTACAGAAAAGAAACTCAAGGAGCTTAGAGAGCTCGCGAGGCAGAAGACACGGTGGAAAGAAATGAAGAAAGGCTGAATGTGGCTACAGGACATTTCCATACGACTGTAGACGCAGAACACAGTGGATGATGATGATGATTGAAAATGAGCATATTTGTGTTACACTTTATCTTTAGGTAGCTCTATCTCCAGTTAAAGAAACAAACGTCAATCTGAGCTATAAGTTATATCTACGTCTGTTGTCAAAATTGGCACATTCCTTCATGTTTTCTTTCTTTTCTTCAATCTATTTTATTTCGCCGGGACAGAAATCATGTACATAGACGATAATCCTGGAGCTGTATTAAACGTTATTTCCAGGAAAAAAAATTAAAACCGTTATTCACTGCGTCTCCAGCCAATGAAAGAAGCCGTTTTATTTTGTAGTTTCGTCCACGGTTTAAGGATTTGTGTTTATTTTCCAGAATCTCCTACTCTCACCATGGTTAGAGTCACCATCGAATCCGGAGGTGCGACTGACCCCCTACCGCCGGGCAAGTCCAACTGGATGGGCAAGTACGAGCCGGGCGGCTGGTGCTCCATCAAGGTCAACAACGCCGAGGAAGGGCTCAACTCCATCGGTATGTCCTGCAGTTTTGCTTTAATTCGCTAGATGCCACTTCTAGCGTAAGACTCCATAGGTCTCCTAGTACCAAGCCACTGTCTGTCTTAACCCAAACCATTTACTAGTCGTGAGAATAAGACTACACTTGATCTTTGAAAAAAAAAACACCAAGGGCTCAACTCTATCGGTACATCCTGCAGTTTTGTCATAATTCGCTAGATGTCGCTGTTATTCTACGACTAATCGCCTGTGGCAACCAGTCTGTCGATATTGAAATCATTTACTTGCAGTATTAGTCAAGCCCTATAGTGTGCATCTACCTCCGTACGCAGGTTTAAACATCGTGGTTCTGAAGTACCCGGAGCAGAACCCTCCGGAGCACAGCACTTCGTTTGACCTCTGCAAAGACCCGACTGCCTGCAACGCCCTGGTGGGGTTCTTCCGAGGTCTTCAGCCGGTAGGTCACGTGACGTTTGATGTCCGCTGGTAAGCACGTCGGCAGAACGTACTGCGCCTGCGCTAGACCCTGATTTTTCTGAAACTTTAGTCAACGTTGCATTGCAAATTGTCAGTTGCAGAGCGACATGATCACTACTTGTTTGTTCAAACTTCAAAGTTAAAACTTTTGATCCAACTAAAAAATTCTCTCACCTAGAGCTTCCGACCAGTCAATGTGGTCTTCCTCAGTAGACTGATCCAGTGAGATTTGTCACGTGGTTTCTTTGAAATTTGACGTCAATACTGGGTAGACGATGTCAGCCCCCGTCGTGGTTGGACTACTTGTTGTTTGTTTGTTTGTTTGTATTTTTGACTTGTTTCACCCCTCGCAGAACCGTTACATCCTGATGAGTGCCTGTAATACTGGGTAGACGATGTCAGCCCCCCGTCGCGGTTGGACTATTTATTTGTTTGTTTGTTTGTATTTTTTTAACTTGTTTCTCCCCCCGCAGAACCGTTACATCCTGATGAGCGCCTGTTGCTCCATCACGGACTGCCTGTCGCAGGAGCTGTGTGACGAGCTGGCCGCGCTGGGCTCCGGATACTTCCGCAAACCGATGCAAGAACTCAGCGGAGGTTAGCATGCATTTTTGGCGACGCTTCAGAGGCGGAGCCTATAATGTGACACATTATAATGCTGAGGTCATATTTCCAAACCGGGGCCAGGCCGGGCTGTTTTGACTAACGAAAAATCAGGAATTTTTCAATGAACTTTTTTAAAAAATGTTTTTAGCTTTGTTGTCTTTTGTATCATACCTTTTATTCCACAAGAATGCATCACCTGGTTTGGAAATATAACCTTAACATTTTTATGCTGATCATGCTGGCATAAACCTGGGCATTCTAACCACTTCGTGCTATTCTTTTAGCTAAATTATATATACATTGAACCAAAGATTAAGAATCTGATTACTGTGACCACATTTTTATTTCCCCTAAAGTGGTCACAGGTTTGACTGATGGTAAGAATCTTGTGCTTTTACAATATCGATAAAGTTAGTATGGAGATTAATTTTAATATCATTACATGCATGTCACTGCCGGCTGAAATCACAAACAAATGCGACAAAGGCAGATAATTCAAGAATGATTGATTGATCCATTGATCGATTTATTGATTGGTTGATTGACTTCCCATAATTTATCTATTGATTGATTGATTGATTGATTGATTGATTGATTGATTATACAGACCATAGGAATTGATTGATTACCAAGCCCATAGGAATTGATTGATTTATTGATTGATTTATTGATTACCCAGCCCACAGGAACGAGTCCTGGGTGATGGTATGCCAAAAGGGGGTGGGGCTGATCAAGGAGAGCTTCCGCCCTGCTGGCTCCGGACCAACCGTGGAGAACGTCGACATCAACTAGGCAGCCAATCACAGGGCGAGCCGTACCTACGTCACAGATGACGTTGGATGCTGATTATACTTACCAGTATTTTAGTACCTTCGGTGGGGATTTATGTCTTTTACGCTAAGTTGGGGAATTACGTAATGTATTACGTAATCGGGTGCTGATCTGACAAAAAAATAATTTCTATATCATTCAAACATCTTCTTTTATCTTGAAAATTCATCTCTGTTGGTAGAAGTCATTATGAAGCAAGTTTAAACTGTAGTTTCCAACACAAGTAAAAAGGAGTCACCCAAATTCTCGACTGTACAACTCAAGTCTTTGTCAAGGAATGAACAATCCACCGCTTCCGTGACGTCACGCAGATAACACACGCGACTCCGTGGATCATAGGTTGCAGATGGGATTAAAGAGGCCGTCTACATCAAGGCATTACAACCATCCCTCAACAGAGACGGGGGGCGCCACAGACTTTCTGCAACCTATGATCCACTGAGTCACGTGTGTTATCTGCGTGACGTCACGGAAGCGGTGGATTGCTCGTTCCTTGACAAAAACTGGAGTTGTACAGTCGAAAATTTGGGTGAGTCCATTTTCTTGTGTTGGACATTACAATTTAAACTTGATTCATAATCTTCTATCTTTGCCTTCAAAAGAGATTGTCTTGTCCATCTCCATTCGCATAGTCTAACTATTCAAGAAATGTCGAATTCAGAAACCATACGGTCAAACAAGTTCGCTTCATGCTACATTTGTCATCAGGCTTGTCATTACGTCGATGAAGGTTAGACATCCAGGTAATACGATACGCCAAAAAGCAGTTACTCAAGCACCTGGATACGATACGCCAAAAAGCAGTTACTCAAGCAACTGGATATGATTTTA